GTACATACACTATACCTATACTTACATAACATATTTGGTTCTATGGGGAAGATAAAGCAAAGTAGCAATAAAATTTGTGATTTTAGTACATATATAATTTATATTCTGTACTCAAAGGGACACGCCACGTTGCGAGACGAAATAAAAAGTGAGATTAAAAATAAATAAATAATAAATGATCATTCATCACATATGTAACAGGAATAAACAATAATCAATAATATTTGAACATGGTGTAAAACAGTATGAATATTATTACTATTTTGCGTTCTAAACGTAATTATATTACGTATTTAGAATTTGTTGTGCTAAGTAATAGAACTTTAGTTTGTTTTTTAAACTATTCAGTGAATTTAGGGAACGAATAGGTGGTGGTAGATCATTCCAACAGTGGGTTGCTGCAAATTTGAAACTACCTCGAAACACAGCTGTGCGGCATCGAGTTGTTACAAGGGAATGAACAGAAGCTCTTGTATTATATTTATTTTGATCTCGGGCCCACTCACTTCATCTTTTGAAACAGGTATACTGGTCGCTGTTTTGTTATTGTTGAGAATAGTATAGAGCAAGGTGTATTTTTCTCCGGGCACTCATTTTTAACAGATTAGCATTGTTCAAATAAGGCGTTACATGGCTTCGAGGCGGGACAGTGAAACAAAACCGAGTACACGCATTTTGCACCCGCTGTATGAGCTTCTCTGACCTTCTCAACAGTCGTGGTATATAGGCTGCATCTGCATAATTTAACTTAGTATTAATGACTCACACAATCTTATCCGGATATCTTCACTGAGGTATTGCCGAACTTTATACAACAACTTCAAACGGTAATAGCAACTGCGCGCTCCTTCAAGTACATGACTTTCAAATCGCAAACTAGAATCAAATAATATACCTAAATTTCTTGCCTCAAAGACTTGCTCTACAGGTTCATTATCAATTATAACTAAGGGCTGAAGCATTGATATATTTTTGATATTTTTATTTGTTCCTAGAATTAAAAATTTTGATTTTTGTGGATTTAGCACAAGAGAATTTTCCTTGGACCATAACGAGATACGTTTGAGATCTTCATTCAATAATTTGACGGCAGTTTCACAATCTTGAGGAAAAAAAGATTTATATACTTGCAAGTCATCTGCATATAAGTGATAGTAACAATTTTTGATACAGCTAGTGATGTCTGAACTATATAAAATAAATAAAATAGGACCCAGGATAGATCCCTGTGGGACACCGCGAGAAGCTAAGTATGGTTCAGACATAATAAGTATTGTGCCATCATGTTTTGTTAAACTAACAAATTGCAATCTATCTGTTAAGTAACTATGAAACCATTGAATTGTGCAAGCATCAAATCCATAGAAAGATAACTTAGACAGTAGAAGAGTACAATTTATGGAGTCAAAAGCTCGTGAGAAATCTAAAAGAGTAAGTATTGTCCCCATTCCCTTATCCTGTGCTGTTAGTATATTATCAACAACATCAATAATCGCTGTTGTGGTGCTATGGTGTTTACATTACGTACATTCGTTTCTTTTACAAAACCGTTCAAACCATTCACCACATTCATTCATATCGATCTCAGGAGGCTTCCCATACACAGTTGCCTATGCTACGGTAGTGACTAGTATACCGTGATATCACCCCTTTTGGGCCATCTGTCCTGCCGTGGTAGATAATTACACTCGATACCAACATGAACATGAAAAACTCTGAATGAGTAGTTCATCTGCCGTGATAGAGAAAACATCTAAATTTCAACGTGAGTATGGAAGACATTCTTTCAGAACCCTCCATCTGCCGTGGTAGAGAATCACACTCGATACCAACGTAAACATGAAAAACTCCAAATGAGTAGTCCATCTGCCGTGACAGAGAAAACATCTCAATGTCAACGTGAGTATGGATGAGATTCTTTCAGAACCCTCCATCTGCCGTGGTAGAGAATCACACTCGATACCAACATGAACATGAAAAAACTCCAAATGAGTAGTCCATCTGCCGTGACAGAGAAAACATCTCAATGTCAACGTGAGTATGGAAGAGATTCTTTCAGAATCCTCCATCTGCCGTGGTAGAGAATCAAACTCGATACCAACGTGAACATGAAAAACTCCAAATGAGTAGTCCATCTGCCGTGACAGAGAAAACATCTCAATGTCAACGTGAGTATGGATGAGATTCTTTCAGAACCCTCCATCTGCCGTGGTAGAGAATCACACTCGATACTAACGTGAACATGAAAAACTCCAAATGAGTAGTTCATCTGCAGTGACAGAGAAAACATCTCAATGTCAACGTGAATAGGTATAAGCACATACCAGCTTATGCATACAGCAAAACATAAGCATAATAACATCGGTAACTTACAAGCAAAAACCTAGCACAAGTCTCGGGAGTCCACTCTCCTACCCAAGGCACCAAGTTTTCAGCTGCAACAGAATACCTTGTAAGGTCCCCGCATACAGGAATCTACTTTTCCCGCTGACTGTAAAGCCTTAATCATAAATACCTTGTCGTTTACTGCAAACTCGTTAGGTGATCTACGGTCTTTATTCACATGATCGTCTTGTTTTTGCTGGTAGATTGACAATAGTGACCGCCGACCGAAGACCAAAACTGGCATCTGCCAGATTTTTTTCGGAAACAGAATATTTATTATGTATATATTTATTAGTGTTACCCATTGCAGTTGATTAAAGATTTAATGGATGCTATCATCCTGAAGTTGATAAGAAAGTACCAAATCTGTTTCATCTAATAACTTAATAATCTTTTATAGAATAAGGATGACAAGTGGGTGCTGTGGCTCATAGACATCCACATTAAACCTCGATTAAGAATCAAAATGCAGGTGCGTTGTCACCCCTGAGTCTCCGGCTCTCTACACTCACCATACGAAACACAGCAGCATTAAACGCTGCTATTTTACGCTGTTATTATGGTAACATCTAATAAATTGACGCATACATGATTGATACGTAACGCATTTGCACGTCGCTTCCTATGGCCTGATCTTTATTCTATTTCTAACTCATAATCTTGAACAGTAAGCCACCATCTTGCAATACGCGGCACAAGATAAATTTTTGTTAAAGCGGTACGAATGGCTGATCAATCAGCGATTCCTTTAACAGAGATAGGTACCTACAAGGTAAATGCGAAACCTTTTGAGTGACTATACCGTAACAAGTGTTTCTAACTCATAGCATAGTAGATCGCAAGTACGGGCCTTAACCAAACAAGTATCTCGTTCGCTACTATTTATTTCGCCCAAATCAAGTTCCTCAAAATTATTTTTTTTCCTGAAATGGCAGTATGCTTTTATTATATTTGTATCATTACATAAGACATTCATTATATCTTTCTTATAATAAATCTCCGCCCTAGTTCGCTACACGATAGTGATTTCCTATATTAATAATAATTTTAATTATAAGTCGCAGACGTTAATACAGCGCCCCGTATTAATACATATCGTATAGTATACGTTAAGTCTACACACTTGTTATTTTATTAAATATTAACAGGTATTTTATAACAAGAAGGAATAGCTACGTTTTCTGATAACCGTATTTCATATGTATGGTGGAAGTCAGTATTATCATATAAATAATTTCTGTTCAGCGTGGTGCTAGTTAAACTAGTGATCAACGTGATGTTATCTTGACTGCCAATTACCTACTGATGGTTGACCTATAATCATATCAACATTGGCTGTAAAACTATGCGTCACCTCTAGTACGGTAAACAACTGTACCAAGAGAATATATACAGCTACTTAATAATCCTTTCAATAGAACAGTGGATGGAATTAAAGGTAGATCTAGTTATCCGAATATATCGAGTGTCAAAATATTCACTTTACTGCCGATATCGATATAAACACTTATCTTACAGTCGAATTAGTAACAACAAACAATTTTATTAAAACAGTCTAGCAGAATATCAAAGGGTTAAAAAGAGTACATAACCTTAGTAACGGTATCACAGCAGGTCGTAGACTCGTGGCCCTGACGCTAGCAACTGGTACAGAAGAGCTGGCTCCGACACACTTAAATCTCGTGACCTGGTCCCCGCAAGATGTAGCACAGCTTCGTCAATGATGACCACCCACGACGCCACGAAGTTCTGACTGGCTGACTAGCTTATTTGTTTTTCAAAGCATTAGTCTCAATTCTTTTGTAATGTACAAGTGAAGACATATACCCGTAGTACAGTTACAGGACATATACCCGTAGTACAGTTACAAGACATATACCCGTAGTACAGTAGTACAGTTCTTCAGCTGATTTGCACCTGAAAACTTTTGCTCTTAATTCAGTTCGAAGACCCCTGTCCTAATACGACATGAAATGGTCGCTTCTTATTAAAATTTTCATTCCTTTGTTAAGGACATCTTGTCATGAAAATATGCGCTCAGAGTTTCGTTATCATTTTTTACGCGCCATTTTTAGTTCCAATTTATTAACAAAATCAATAGTAATAACTTAAAACAGAAGGACATTTAAGTAGGGACTGAATAAATTAACCGACTTGGTATTACATGGATTTCACAACTTTTTAAAGTAAAAGAACTGAATTGCGAGACTTGTTTTTTTTTTACAAGTAATGGTTTTGATGGCATTATATTTTACAAATATACATACTAGTAATAACGTAATAGTAAAACAACTCCAGTTTAATAATGCACCCTCTTTTGTCGGTTGTATCATGTTGGTCGAGTTTAACAGTGCACACTACCCTTCAAACTTTTTTAATTTGTTATCTTTTCTACCGCACGTTTTCGAATGTCTCAGTAGCTGTCACGAATAGACCACAGCGCACCCCGCACGCCTCTATTTAGTCGGCCGTCGCCTGCGATAGGAGTTGGACGTGCGCAAAGCGAATAAGGGTGAATATGATCCCGCGACAATTGCGACGTAACATTTTTTTTTACGATTATTTATTTTTGTTTTATTTGAATATTGTTGTGTTTATAGGTATTTTTGAATAAAATGAGACAGCAAGAAAATCGAGATGAGTGGATACGTCAAAAATTGATGGAATCAGATAGCGAAAATGAGTTTCTGTTAGAGTTCTTGTTAGAAAGCAGTGAAAATGAAGATCATTTGAGTGTACGCAGTTGCGGTAGTGATACTGAGCAAAACATAAGCAGTGAATATGACAGCGAAGATGACGTTCCGATATCGAGCTTGCGAAGGCCAGAATCAAATTCTGCTTGACGAAGAGGAATTAGATGCCCAGGTGAGGGAGTCGTTTTATACTGGTAAAGATGGCTCCAAGTGGTTCAAAAATCCGCCTTCACGGCAAGTTCGGACGCGCTCAGAAAATATTATCAGACAAACACCTGGTGTGAGCGCAGAAGCAAGATTAGCACAGTCAGAACTTGAATGCTGGAGCTTGTTTTGTCCCGAAAATATGATTTCCATTATCCTGACTCACACAAATCTACAAATTCGAGAGAGAAATGCTAGTCGTGAAAACATTCCTCACTTCATGATAGAATTAGAAATGAGTGAATTGAAGGCTTTTATCGGTTTATTGTATATTGCCGGATTTTATCGCTCTGGAAGGCAAAATACTGCAGATCTGTGGGCTTCCGATGGTACAGGAGTCGAAAGATTTCGGTTGACAATGTCACGTCAACGATTTCATTTTATTCAGAGCTGTCTCCGATTTGATGATAAATCTACGCGTGAAGAAAAATAAACTATTGGACAACTTAGCTCCTATACGTGAAATATTCGAGCTGTTCGTTGAGAACTGTAAGAAATCATACGTCTTGGGCGAATATGTCACCATTGACGAAATGTTGCTGGCATTTAGAGGAAGGTGCAAATTTAGACAATACATACCATCCAAGCCTGCAAAATATGGCATAAAGGTCTTAGCAATAGTTGACGCGCAAAATTTTTACATTTTCAACCTCGAAATCTATGCAGGAAAGCAGCCAGAAGGACCATTTTCCGTAAGCAATAAACCTTTTGACGTGGTGAATCGTCTAGTGCTGCCCATTTCAAAAACTGGGCGGAATGTTAGTTTTGACAATTGGTTTACCAGTTATGAACTTGTGCCACATCTACTCAACGAGCACAAGCTGACGTCCGTGGGCACAGTGCGGAAAAACAAGAGAGTACTCCCGAACAAGTTCTTGAATACGAGCGATCTTGATGCAGATGTTTATTCATCGAAGTTCGGCTTTCAAAAAGATATAACTCTGGTATCCGACATACCAAAGAAGAATAAAGTTGTTCTGCTCATGTCAAGTCTCCATCACGACGCTTATATTTACGAAACTACTGAGAGAGAAAAAAACCAGAAATAAACACATTCTATAACTCCACTAAAGGAGGAGTAGACGTTGCAGATAAGTTGTCCGCAACTTATGATGTAAGCCGCAACTCCAAAAAATGGCCTCTGACTGTGTTCTATGCAATTTTGAATATGGCAGGGATAAATGCAAATATTGTATTCAAATGTAATACAAATTCAACCCAAAACCCCGTAATTTTATCAAAACTTTGGGCCGTATGATGGTAGCCGAACATATGAGTGCTCGAAAAGAAATACCTCAGTTGTCCAGCCAGCTACGTAAAAGAATGAGATAATTTGGAGGATAATCTGCTCAGGAGACGCCTGTAAGGGTCCCAGGTGTACGAAAAAGGTGCCAAGTGTGTCCTTATGCCAGACATCGAAAGACGAGTAATGTCTGCGAAGATTGTCATAAGTACATTTGTCCAGAACACACAATTTTTTTTTGCCAAGAATGTGCTGCAATAACTGACAATAATATTGAGTAACTATAAGTTTTTTTATTTTATTTTATGTAAAACTGATTGACCTTATTGTTGATTACCAAATTATCTTAGTTAGTTTGTTTTTTTACTTCTATTTTATGTTACGTTGTTTTATGTACGTAAGTGTTGAAAAAACTTGTTTAATTTTTAAGTATTATAAAAATGTGAATAATAACAAAGTTTTTTACCAATATTGATGTTTATTTTTATTTACATGGTAAAAGAAATGTCTATTTCCTTTCATTATTATGTAAAAGTCACAAAAAAATCAAACAATTTCGAAAACAATGCAATTAAAATACAGGGTCATAGATACCCTCCGCAACCTCCAAGTAATTATTTTCACCACATTCTCGCCGGGTTAAGGCAAAATATTGTCTTTCAAAATAAATAAATGTATTAAAAAACTTGTAAAAATATTTAAAATATGATAAATAATAGAAATACAAGTCAAAAATATTATAAAAATAAATATAAATAACATTTATAAGATAATTAGAAAATTGGTTAAAAATTGTCTAAGTCATGGAGGGAGTTCATGTATAGGAACTGTCGGAGACGTATGCTGTACATATATGAGACTGTATGGAAGGAGAAGGAGCTCCACGGGAAGTTCTACAAGACTCTACATGAACCTTTCGTAGACACAGTTGCCTCCCTCAACTGGCTACGTTTCGGTGAGCTCTTCGGGGAAACCGATGGTTTTGTCTGTGCAATACAAGATCAGGTTATTAAGACCAACAACTATCGGAGATACATCCTATAGGATGGAACCGTCGACATCTGTCGAGCTTGTAGCCGTCCCGGTGAGTCACTTAGGCATGTCATCTCCGGTTTCAGAATTCTACACCAGGAGCTCGCTCTGAAATACGGTCTCGTGGACCGGAAACTGCCGTATTACAAGTACTTGCCGGAAGCCGTGCTGGAAAATGACCGCGCCAGGCTCTACTGGGACCGGGCCATCATCACAGACAGCGAGCAGACTTGCGAATAAGCCTGATATTGTGCTGATGGACCGGGCACAGTCAAGGATATTTTTGGTCGACATTACCATTCCGTATGACGAGAACCTCATGAAAGCCGAAACAGATAAGCGAACAAAATATCTGGACCTGGCTCACGAGGTGACTGACATGTGGGGTGGTATGCCGGCCGAATTTATTCCTGTAGTCGTCTCTGCGAATGGGCTAATCCCAGTCAGCCTCTCAGGTCATCTGAGGCGACTGAGACTCCGTGACGGACCGCTCCGTGCTCAAATGCAGAAGGCGGTGCTCCTCGATACTGCCCGCATCGTCCGCCGGTTTCTTTCCCTTTCCTCCTAACCCTCGGCCGTTTGGTCTCCCCTGCCGAGGGCTTCCATCTGGTTGGGCTTTTATTTATTTATGTATTTTTGTTATTTATTTTATTTTAATTATATTTATATTTAGAAAGAAAATAGACAGGTGTCAACTATGTTTATTTTGTCTAAATATTTTAATAAAAATAACTATCCATTTTAATTGTAAAATTTTAGTGCACAAAGGAAATTTTTATTGTTGTCAAAGATTTAAATAGTATAACAGTGGTTTATATAATATCTGAAATTAACTACGAGACATAAAAAATTTTCAAGATTGTGACATAATATGCCAAATGTAACAAAACAATTCGCAACAAAGGATTTCTGAAATATTATATATTTGATTGACTGATGAAGAGCTATCGTATCGCAAAGCCATATAAGAGTTTGTCGGGATATTTTTCATATTTGCGCATGGGGATTTTGTTTTTGTTCCCACTACAGTGCCTGTTCAGTATTTGAAAAGTTCTAGTCCGCGTATGATAACTTCAAGACACGGTTGCTAAGGCCGCCATCGTTTGTTCTAGCGACGCCATACGTCCGTGGATCTCTTACACTGCAGCTTCCAATTGCAGAACCGTCCTGTGACGCACCTACGTAACGACGCATGCGTCTTGTTACCAAAACAAGCAGCCTTCATATTTTGACTTTGACTTTTTTATATCTTCAGTGTAATTGTTAAGTTACTTTATTGTGTTTTTTTTTAATTTGTTTTAAGTTATTCTTTTTTGTTATTGTATTTAACTGTTGTGAATGCAGTCCGTAACCCAATCTAGTGATGACACGGCAAACGCGACACTTATATGTACACAGTGCAACAAGTCATTCAAATCTTTAAAAGGCCTCAACATACACACTACAAAAACACACAGGAAATCTATTAGCCAAAACAGTTCACCTTTAGACATACACCCTTTTATTCCAAATACGCCTACTTTTGCAGCCAACTTTCCAACTCCTTTCCACACATATCTTAGCCATTTGAAAAATAGTATACAGACAGTTAAAAGAATCCCTCGAGGAGCTCGAATAACCGTTGCTACACATTTGTCACAATTAATCCAGAAATGTTACATAAGCAATTGTACTCAAGACTGGCAGAACCTATTTTTATTTTCATACAGCACACTACATATAACAAAAACTGATAAACCAAATTTATCCTTGACACAAAAGATTAAAAATAACTGTACTGTCAGCTCCTCACCTTCTCCCGCACCTCTAATCAAACATGATGCCCCTCGTAATCGCAACAAACTAATCGAAAACAAAATCTGTGACGGAGATCTCAAAGGTGCCGCTCGCCTTTTGTTCTCCAACGAGGTGCTTTCACCAGATACCCCTGACACCCTTCAGGCCTTACGGTCAAAACATCCTCTAGCTCCAGTAAACCCATATTTTCTCGACCGACCAACAGTAGGGCAAGCATGCCTTCAAATTCATAACAAAGATGTTACGGATGCCATTTTATTTTTTAAACCAGGTTCGGCTGCAGGTTTGGATGGAATCTCACCGCAACATTTGAAAGACTTAACATCGCATTCTGTGGGTGATGCAGGTGAGCAACTTGTAAATTCGATCACTAAATTAATTAACTTTATGTATTCCGGTAATGTCAATCCAGAAATTGTTCCAATTCTTTTCGGCGCGAACCTCATTGCTCTCACCAAAAAGGACGGAGGGGTGAGACCAATTGCTGTTGGATCAACACTACGACGCCTGGCCTCCAAAATTGCTGTTCGACATATTTTACAGAAATTAAATTCGGAATTTGAACCCGTACAGTTAGGCTTCGGTGTAAAAGGAGGGTGTGAGGCAGCCGTCCATGCCCTACGTTCTTTCCTAACATATGGACATCCTGACGTGTTGCTCAAAATTGATGTCAAAAATGCTTTCAATTCGGTAAATAGGGGGACCCTACTGACCGAAATAAATCAACATATACCCGAAATATACAATTATCTTCTTCTCAGTTACGCTGACCCAACAAAATTGTTATATCGGTCTAATGAATTATCCTCGGAAGTAGGTTGTCAACAAGGTGATCCCCTTGGACCAGCAATTTTTAGTTTGGCTATATTAATCC